GAAAATTATCAAAAAATATGAACATAATAACTTCAAATCTGAAAGGAGACTATTTACTCAGAATATAACAATTGTAATATACAGAGATTAATTTATGGTTAAATATCAGTTTTATACAGAAAATGATAATAGGAATAAGAATATCTGTTCCTAGAATGGAAACTTTATAGTCTTACTGACTGTACCGTTGAGTTATTTTAAACTGTAAAGCTGTTTTCCTAAGAACTGAAAGAATGTCTACGATAATTAACTTGATTTGTCCTCATTCTGCTCCTGTGATATGACAGACAGACATGTACTGCTGTCCGCAGTTTATGGGTGAGATACTGGGGCACAGAAGTAATGTAATGCTTTATCGGAGATTGCCAAATTAATTAGATGCAGAGACAGCACCCAGAGTGGGTTCTTGGTGGGTGGATTTGACCATCCTCCCCCAGTAGACTATAAATTCTGACAAACGGGATAGCCTTTCTCGGGTACGGAAACTTTGAATATGCTGTGAGTAATCAGGCAGCATAAAGTAACGTATTTTAGAAATATATTTTCTTTTTAAAAAGAACATTTATGTTTTTATCACACCATCACGTATAATGCAACATGAGTAAAGCCCTCCCGAGTTTCACATTTGTGAGGAAACTAGCATTATTGTAGATTAGTGCCAGGGCAGAGAAATGACCCTATTATCTCTGTAATGGTAATATTCTGCCTCACAGGGGAACTTGCATCATTAAGAGTGAGTTATTTTCTTGTTGATGCTTTCTGCACGAGTTATTAATATATTAAATCAGAAGGAATGGGAAAGTTCTTTTTAGGGACTTGGGAATATAACCTAAAGGTTTCAGTATTCATCTTTACCTGCAACATCATGTAAATCTGTATTTACATGCATTTGTAGATGTACACACTCACATGCACACACACACAGTGTCACAGCTCCATTTCTTTGTACACGCCCTCTTCTTTCTACATGGAATGCCCTCTTTATTTTCTCTCGTGTCAATTACTTCTTTATCTCTAAGACCCCTATCAGTTGTACCCTTCTTGGTGGTGAAGCCTTCTCGATCCTTACAACCAGGTTCTTGCTTCCCTCTCTGCTCCTAGGGCAGTTTGTCCCCACTGCTACATCAGGTTTCTATTTGTTGATCATGTCTTTGTATCTTTATGACTCCCAGTTGAAGGTGTGCTTCTCAAGGATGGGGACTAGCTTTTTCAATTTTATATTCTAGCATCTTGCATGATGTCTGCATATATCAGGTGTGCCATAAGTATTAAATGAATAAGTGTATATCATACACAGCATATATATTATTTATACACTCTGCCTTATTTAAGAAGTGTGTTTAAGATGATTTATAAGCAATAGAACACATTAGAAGAAAATTGAAAGGAAAAAAGGAGGAGGATGGGAAATAAAATGGGTCCAAGCATGGACTAATTCATGCCATGAGTCTGTAAGTGTATATGTAATATGAATATAAGTGCATTTGCAATTACAAAGGAAACATATATATGGGACTTACAAGATACATTAAAAAAATCTATGTTGTCTGATATTTGAGCAAAAAATTGCATCTTTTTTATTTTGGCCTTGGAAAGATTTCTTGTTTTCCTAAGTCACATTTTTGTCAGCGTATCTGATGCTGAAAGGTGGAATGCTCATTGGTGCTAAGAATAGCGTGTAATCAGTGTGTGGCAGCATGGAGTGGTCGCTGTGAGCCCACTGCTGTGAAAACAGGAGGCTGCAGTTTGACTGTAGGGTCTTCTTCAGTTCCTGAGCTTGCGTGCTCCAAGTGCTCTTACTTGCCCACTTTGAGAAAAGCACATAGCCCTGGGGTCGGAATGCAAGAACGCTGATTTGAAATAATAACCTTCTCTTGGAATAAATATCTTTGTGTTAATGTAACTGAAGAGTACCTGTGAATTAGAGCTTGCTCTCTTAGGTGACCTGTTTGCCAAGTTTAAATAAATGAACATATTAAAATTGTATTATTCTCCTGCTCTCAGGAGTAAGTTTATGCAAATCTAAGAAGAGATTCTTTTGGTTGTTTTTAATATAAGACTTTTCTTGAATCTGATTCTCGGCGTGATTTTTTGATGGAGGACTAAGCTTTGTTTGCCATGTTGTTAATTAATTGTTAAAGTAATGAGGTCTTATTGTTCTGGGTAATTTATTTAATACAGTGAAGCAGTTAGTTGCTCACTGGCAATTTTTCAATGGAGGTACCAAGGTGCCGACCCATTTCTTTTGGTGTGCCAGCCCCTGGAGCTGTGCGTTCCCGGGATTTGCTAATCACCACCTGGCAACTGAATTACAAGGCAGGAAAGACAGGACTCTTGAATGGCAGCCACTGACTCACCAGCAAGACGGAGGTATACTGGTGTCAGGGCTTGTCTGCTGGCGTACTGGTCTTGCTGCTGGGGGAAGAAGACTGGACGATGGCACAGAGCTTATGTGCTGCCTTTGGCGTGTTTGCTGGATGTCAGCAGTGTCATTCTTGACCATCACTTTGGTTTAGCAACTGAGACCTGCTAAGTAGAACACACTACTCCAGTTGCATATGTCCCACTCCCTGTGTGTCTGTTTCTTTGTCCATCTATCCATCCATATATCTGTCTGTCCATCTGTCGAATAACTGGATTTAAGCTGTCAGTGAATGGGCTGGAATTAACCTCTAAAAGCACTGTTTACAACTGGGGTTGGCAAACTTTTTCTATAAAGAGACAGATAATAACTATTTTAGGCTTATAGGCCATACTGTCTCTTGCAGCTACTCAGCTCTGCTGTTGAAGGACAGAAACAGCCATAGACAACATGTAAATGAATGGACGTGGTTGTGTTCCAGTAAAACATTGTTTATAGACATTGACTTGACCACCCCTGGTCTAGATAGTGGAAGTCTTTGACTCAACATAGTTTGTGTACTACACAAAAATTTTTAAAAATGCTTTTAATGCTTATAAGTTTTCTAACACAGCTTATGTCTCAGGTTTGTTAGCTTGTCATCTGCATAGAGGTATACCCACAAAAATAGTTTTATAGGTTTTACCATTTTATTTATTTAAACATATTGATGATATAAAAGATACTCATCTCTCTCAGGCACTGGTGATAGAAATGTCATTGGATTGGAAATATGCAAAAATACGAGGAATAAAATTTTCCACCACATCACTGATAACAGCATCATTAAATTTGATAGTTTTTACTTATAAATATGACTTCAAAAACTATATTTTTGACATGAAAACATGGCCAAGCTTTATTGCTAAGTGGAAAAAAAGGGAGATTGTACACATTGTTTAGAACCCTTCTACAATGTGATTCTATTTGTGGAAAGAAAAAAAGATTTTCATATGTCTATGTATATGCATGCTTGTATATCTGAAAAGATACTGAATCAGTCAGGGTTCTTAATTTTCAAGCAGATGAAATCAACTCTGTCCAGTATAAGCAGAAATACTTACTGAAGGATAATAAATAGCTCAGAGATCTCTAGAGTGCCTGAGCACCATATACATCTGGAAGCAATCCCCCCAATTCCACAGCATAACTAGTTCTGCAGAGACGCCCCAGCAGCTGTCAGTGGACCCAGAACCACAGTCTGAATCGCTGATACTGCTGAGCCTGAATGCTGGGTCTGCCTCCACTGGTACCAGCATTCTGGAATGGATTCTGGACACTTGCTGTGCTTTCGTGTCATGAGCTTCTAATTCAGAGTCTGGCATGGGCGCATTTGATTGGCAGAGCCCATGTGTTGTGCCCCAGCTGCAAGGGAAGCTGGGAAAGTGAATATGTGGATCTTACTTCTATAGTGGACAAAGGGCCCTGCCTCTTAAGGTGGGGAGTTTCCCTAATGTAGGAAGAGGATTAAGAAGCTTGGACAACAGAAAGAAGGAGAGATGTCCACTGCAGACACCCAGGAAATTGGTGGTATTGGTTACTTCAGGGCTATGTAGTTGGAATGGCTGACTGGGAGCAGAAGGAACCTTTTATTTTACTCTTCTGTGCTCTTTGAATTACAAAGAAATCGTATAACAATGATGATAAAAAGACCGTGGGGAAAATCAACCCAAGGGGACTACATCCCCCCCCTGCCCCCGCTGTTACACTGCTGTAAGAGGGGCTCAAGGAGGCCTCCAGCATCTCGGGCAGGTCCATCAACTTCCTATTCAGCTTCATTTGAAAATTCACCTCATGATTTCCTCGTGAATTCAGTCAGCTCTGTATCGCTTATATTTGGTTGGGCAGAAAAAAATCATGAAATGGTTTTCTCTGGGACACCACTGGCTTCCTTTTGACCTGGTGGAGCTGATTCAGTTTCTCTCTTTGAGGTCTACAGGATTCAGCTTTGAAAATTAAGGTGTTGTTGCCGCCATGGTCGTTGAAGTGTTCATAGATGCAAGGTGCAAAAACAGAATATACTTAAAAATTTGATTCTACTAAATTTTTTGTTTTTCAAACCCCCATAAATTTGCTCCTTGATAGAAAATTTGTCTGAGAACTTAATTCAGTCCAATAAAGTTTTAGCAGACATATTAAAATTTTTTTAAACTTTATTTTTTGGAATAGTTTTAGATTTACAGAAAAAGTGTGAAGATAGTACAGGAGAGTTCCCATAAAACCTGAACCCATTTTCCCATATTATTGACATCTTATGTTAGTATGGTACATTTGTTACAATTAATGAACCAATGTTGATACATTATTATTGACTAAAGCCCATACTTTATTAAGATTTCTTTAGTTTTTACCTAAAGTGCTTTTTATGTTCCAGGATAGCTAATATATTTTATATATTTATATTGTGCTTTTTCACATGTGTAGTAACATTATGGAGCCATATAATAAGTGCTCTTTCTGTTATAAATAACTTACGGAGTTTGGGGGAAGAATAGATAAAATAAAGCTTTACCACAGTGAGGTTCTTATATTCTTTTATGCACAAATGTTACTTGAGAAAAAATAATTGTCCTTCATTTTTCCCCTGTTCTCTGTTCAGTGGAACAGGTTCCTGTGGAACCATACAGCATCCCCCTGTCCCGGGCGGAAGTCATCCAGGAAGGGAGCGATGTTACTCTCATTGCCTGGGGCACTCAGGTCAGTAGCATTTGTAGCAACTGGTAGTGTCCATGTTGTTCTTGGTGCTTTCATTTTTAATCCTGATACTGTGAAGATTGGAAGTGATGTTTTCCTGAGTCTCAAATTTGAGTCTGGTTTGGTGCTACACCCCTATCTGGAACTGATTCTGTTGAAGGTGAGGTGCCTATTCAGTCATATTAAAATACATATGCATATGGTGAAGCCGTTAAAAATATGTTGAGTTTACAAAAATGTGTTCATTAAAAACACTTCCTTTTGAAGCACACATTACATATCTTTACTACTTATTTCTGTGCTTGATTTGCTGTCTTCCATATCATCCCATCTGCTGCCATCTCTCGTGATCACTTTGCTGGCCGTGTGGACCCATCCAGTGGTCCAGGCTCAGAATTTCATTCCTTTCTCTTTTCCAGTGAAGCTCACCGCTGACCGACCCCGGCTTCCCGGGTACTTGTTGTCACATTGCTCTGCCTCCAAACTTGTAAGCTCAGGATTCTTTTCTTCCTCTGGCCGTAGACGTCTGTCTCTTACAGAAGTCTCTCTTTCTTTTAAAAAAAAGGTCAGTTTTTCTTTTTTCTGTGTGAAGGAAATACTTGCTTATTTTAGAAAATTTAATACAGCATTGTCTAAAGAAGATAATGAAAATCCTTTGCAATACCACAACCTCCTCCTCTCCTCTCCACTTGATTTTTGGCTTGAAGAGCTACAGTCCTCCTGGTTTCTCACCACAGGGGGATAATTTTTTATCTTCATCCCTGTCACTCAGCATGTGTCCCTGCCGCTCTCTTTCATAGGGAAGTCAGAGTGTGTTCGATACTCATTCCCATTACTTGCTTCCACCTCACACCTATCACTCCTGCTGCCAGTCTTTTCCTCTTTCCCTTTTCTTCAGAGGAGAGGTGTCTGGTTTTCATAGTTACCTCTCCAGGTCTGCTTCAGATTGTGTTCCACTTCACCTTCTCCAGGACTGATTCATCAGCTCCTCTTTCTCCTGCATCTTCAGTTTTTCCTTTCCATGTCCCTTTTATGAAAAAGGTGTGTATCTCTTCTCTATCTAAGAAATACCTTTTCTTTAACCTACTTTTCCCTTAAATACCAGCATATCTCCCTCTTTTATCACTAAACTTGAACAACTATTTTTACCACCTGTATTTAATTCCTTAACTTCCTTATGTTCTTGTGTCTTATAAGTTCTGTTCCCACTAATTTACTGAAACTACTTCAGCTAACATCGCTAATCTTCTAATTGTTAAATCCAACTCTTATTCTGTATTGCTACGGTATGTGACACTGACTACTCTCTCCATGAAACCGTTTCTTCTGTAGCTTCTTGGCTATGTTGTCTCCTGATTTTTTTTTTCTGTTACTTTAACTATTTTTTCTTTTTTTTTTTGTTTAGTGAGCTCCTCTTTTTTCTGTTTTCCCCTTAACTCTTGGTCACCTACAGGGTTCCATGATTTCTGCCCTTTACTCTTCCCCACACGCTTTCCCTGGAAAGCCCACCACTCCTGTTACTTCATTTACTTACCTTCCATGTGCTGATACCTTTAGAATCAGTATCTCTAGCAACGACAGCTCTCACTTTCTCTAAGAGTTCTTTCCAGCTGTTTTCTAGATATCTGTATTTGATTATTTTGGAATATGGGTTTCAACGTGTCTAAAACAAATTTATTAGTTCTCCATGTAGATCAATTCCTCTGACTTTAAATACTGTCTCCATTAATAATGTCAGAATTCAACTAATGTTTTAGGCCTGAACCTCTGTAGTCATTCTCTGCATATATTTCTCCTTATTTTAGGTTCATGTGATCCGAGAGGTGGCTTCCATGGCTCAAGAAAAGCTTGGAGTGTCTTGTGAAGTCATTGATCTGAGGACTATAATACCTTGGGATGTGGATACAGTTTGCAAGGTATGAATATAGTGTTGATAGACTGTCATTTCCTCAAAATCTTGGGTCAAATGTGTTGGCAGTTTGCAACGAATTGTTTTGAATTTTGAGCTTCGTGAGCATTTTCAACTGATTTAAAACTTTAAAATTTCCGCCATGAAAGAACTGTATACTGTGTAATCAGCTTAATGCTCAAGGAAACTAAAAAAGCATTTTAGTTTTTTCCTTCCCTTGGTTCTCTGTTTAAAATATTATAAAACCGTCTCCTTCCTGCAGCCAGCTTGGGTTGAGTTGTGTGAATAATGGAGTCGTGCAAGTAAAGAGCGTATCAGGGATGTTGAGGTCATGTGTGTTTGTAACTTCTGATTGGTTACGGTTTGGTAAGCTAAGTTTAATATAGTCAGCTAAATGGTTTGCTGAATTTTTGTCTCCTCTCCCAAAGAGATGGAGATGGATTATTTAAAAAAAAATAACTCTTTGTATAGCCTTAATACTGTGGATCGTAGTTCGAATGTTATGTCGTGGGATTCTGGTTGCTCTGATTTATAGTCTCCTGTCTAAGTTGCCTCCTGAACTTTGGCCTGGTTAGATTGATCTTGTTCTTATTATTAATAGGATTCACATAGTCCTTTCTCAGGAATATGGTTTGGTTCTCATTTACTTGGCTATAATATCTTTCATATTAATGTCTAGATAAATTATAGTGCATCTGCTCCCATATTGGTATATAAGGAAGGTTAAGGTTTTTTTTGTGATGGTTTTATCTACTAAAGTTTAAGTAACATTGCATGTATTTTTTTCTTGATTTATTGCTATAACAGAGGAGTCCTAGGACCTAGGGTATTTTACATTTACTATTTTTAAGAGCTTTGGTATTCTCATAGCTTTTGCAGGCTGTTTCTTAAGTTAGTTACATGAAAATAATCTGCAGCTACCGCTGTAAAAGTGTAGCATAGAGTGTTTTTAGGTGAAGCTTGTTTTATAATTTAGTGAAAGATTTAAGATTTGTCATAGTAAATGTCTGTAGACTCACTTGACACCATCTAAACTTGACATGGTTACATATGGTTTCAACAATATTCTAAATTCTTATATTTGTAGTTTCCATAATGAAGAACAGTATTTCAGGTTGAATTTTTTTATAACTGCATGAAAATAATGCTTTTTGCAGGCATTTTCAAATCAAGTCAGACACTGGGTTTTGTTTCAAATAGCCAAATGTTCCAAATTATGGTTAAACTAGAGCTGCTAGTCCTTGCCCCAGAGTGGACTTGTTTGCAACCTGTTCCCCCACTTATTTTTGGGTTTGTATTTATGCTGTGAATGGTGCTTCTGTATGAGGATATGATGTTTTGTCATGGTCAGTGGGGCTACTGATACATGGTCAGGGCAAGTACTTTTAGAACTTTATTTATGTATTTGTATACCTTATATATTCAAAAAGAATTTGTAGCAGCTTATGGTAAAACACAAATATAATAACACTCCAAGTTTATAACTGTGAAAGCAAAGTGAGGAGAAGTAGAGGAAGAAAGAAGGGGAAAATTATTTATATCTACTATGTCAATTTGCTAGTGTGGAGCCCTCCCTTTATTAAATCTGCTGGTTGCATCTTTGTATGATCCTGGAATGTGGATCCTGTTTCCTTACGGCTCTATACTACTGGAAAAGATAAAAGAGGAGACCAGAGGCCTCTACTGAATGAGAAAGTGATGCATCAGACTCAGACTCGTTAACATCGTTATTTTAGTTTTGTCTTGGGATGCTTTCATCATGTTATTTTTCTCGTTGATGACCCTCCAGTTCTGACAGTGAAAGCCAGCTTGTCATTTCTTGATTACTTTGGGTCTGTGTGTGACTCTCTTCATTGCTGATTATGGTACATCTCCTGTTTTCTTTTCGCATATCAAAAGAGAAAAAATTTTCATACTTAGCATCTTTTCTAGGATTTAGAGATGCTTGTAAAGAGGGCCCTACAGCCAAACACATTAAAAATAAAGTATTTTTTGTTTAACTATAGTTAAGCTTCTCTTTTTCATCATTATGAATTCTTTAGTAATCAAAATTTGTTTTTGTTATCTTTTTCAGTTAGTGCTGTGTTTTATCGGTTGTTTTTTGTCTTATGACAAAATTAGATCCCCCAGCTTTATTCATTACATGTTAAATGCAACACCAAAATGCATCTTTTGGAATACCTATCCAAGAAAAGCCCATTAAAGGTAAAGATGATTTATTGAACATATACATTAGCATACTGTGCATAGTAAAATCATTCTGGGACAATTTGAGGAATTGGTTACTGTAATCTGAATTTAACTTTGTTTTTAAAACATAGTCCTACTTTTTGCTTAAGCCTTAAAGCATTATTTGGAAGTTATAAGCCTGAAAAAGTTGCTTGGCAACAGAGAAAGCAGCAGTTTTTTTGAGTGTTGCTCAAGGGAGTTGCAAAATTGGAGACCTGAGTGGGACTAAAAACCATAGCCAGTTTCTCCACTCAATTCTGAACCTGATGTTACAGCTGGAAGCCTCTCAAAAGCAAAATAGAAAATCTTGAATTTTGAGGTGCTTAGGAGACAGCAACCTAGGCTGGGGTCTGGGGTTGTGGGTGGGGAGTAGGGTGGCTTAAGAACATTAGCAATGAGAGTTGAGAGCCCTGAATGAGCAGTCAGTTGACACTGATGATCTGCAGCTGCTTTTTACTTGGGGGCACCTGCCAATTGAGTCTCAACCAGAAGCTGAGAATCGAGCTTTCCATGTTTCCTGGGGCTATAATGACAGAATTGGAAACTTGAGGGGTCTTAAATGCACAGTCAGTCTCCCTTTTAAAATATTTGCTAAATTCTAAAGCTGTGTATGGTGGGAGCTAAGCAGAAAATGTCTGAAAAGACAAGCCATCACTTGAGGCTGAAGTGACAGACCAATCATACCCTCAATTAAAAGCTGTGGAGTCAGGTCTTATGATCAGAGGCAAACCAGAAGTAGATGAAATCTTCCTGAACCCACAACATAGCCTCTACCCCTCTCAGTTCCTTTTGGATTAATGTAATTTACCTTCTACTCTGTCTGCCCAGCAGCACAAGGAGTCAGTCCTCCCATCATCTGGAAGCTCCATGAACCAGCATTCAATAAAAAGTTCTAAGTATATGAAGAGACAGGACCATTTGATCAAAAACCAAGAGAAAACACAAACAATAGAAAGGAGAAACACAGATGATCCATATATTGGAGTTAGTAGACAAGGATTTTATGATTATTATGTTTAGGAACATAGAGAAAAAGAACAAAGAAGTAAGAAGGTGGAGAATTTACCTTAGAGAATTGGGATGTCTGTGTGCGTGTGTGTGTGTGTGTGTGTGTGTGTGTGTGTGTGTGTGTATGGATCAAATAAACATTGTAGAACCAAAAAAATATTTGACAATAAGAACTCAATGGATGTGTTTACCAACATATTGGACTCAGTAGATGACAATATTAATGAATTAGAAGGCAAGTTAATAGAAAACATTCAAATTGTAGCACAGAGAGGGGACAAAAAGGCTAAAACAGATAAGAGCATAAAATACATTTGGGATTTGGGCAAAGATCTCTCCTATATACAATTTGAATTCTAAAAGGAGAAAAGAGAATGAATTGGTCAGAAACAAGATCTAAAAGGTTTTTCTCATGAAAGTTTTAGAACATCATCCCATGTATTCAAGAGGCTTTGTCAGTCTCTAAGGATATATGAAATGACATCTAACATTGCTGAAGATGCCAACCTAGAACTCTGTACCCAGTGAAAACATCCTTTTAAAATTAACATGAAATAAAAATAGTTTGGGCAAATAGAAATTGAGAGAATTTATCACTAGCAGGCTTTCACTTAAAGAAATGCTACAAGGGAGTTCCTTAGGCAGAAGGAAAATGACCCTAGAAGAAGGTTGGGGGGGGGGCTTACATGGAGTTAAAATATTCTTTTGTTCTAGGAATATTAGCTAAGTGTAAAACTATTATTAGGTTATAATACATCAAGGATGGATATTGTAATCCCTAGATTAATAACTAAAATAATAGTGAGGGTGTGCATATTCAGCAAGTTGAAAAGGGAACTACAGATTAATAAAAATATTAGGTTAAACAAAAAGAAAGGAAAATGTACAAAAAAGAGATGTGTCAATAGAAAATAGTAAGATGACAGATATAAACAGACAGGTATACATGTAATTAAAATAAATACAAATGGATTAAATAATCCTAGTAAAAGCCTTAAGATTGTCAGACTTCATTAAAAAAAACAACAAATATGCAGCTTAAAAGAGACATACCTTAAATATAAGGACACAGAAAAGTTGAAAAGAAAAGGATGGAAAAAGAAAGCTAGTGAGTGGGGCTGATCTGATGGCATAGTGGTAAGTTCATATGCTCCTCTTTGGCAGCCTGGGGTTCACAGGTTGGGATCCTGGGTGCAGACCCACGCACCACTTATCAAGCCATGCTGTGGCGGCGTCCCACATATAAAGTAGAGCAAGGTGGACACAGATGTTAGCCCAGGGCCAGTCTTCCTCAGTGAAAAGAGGAGGATTGGCAACAGATGTTATCTCATGGCTAATCTTCCTGAACAAAAAAAAAAGAAAGCTAGTGAGTTATACTAATTTCATATGAAGCTTTAAGGCAAGAAACATTACTAGAAATAAAGAGGAAAATTTCATAAAGCTAAAGAGATCAATCTACCATGAAGATATCACAATCTTAAATCTATTATGTTCTCAATAGCATAGCTTCAAAATACATAAAGCAAAACAAACTGCCAAACTAAAAGGAGATAGAGACATTTCCACAATCACAGTGGGAGACTTAAGACATCCCTCTCAAAAGCAGGTTAAACAAGCAGGTAAAATTAGTAAGTATATAGAAGATCTAAACAAACAGTTAATAAACTTGTCCTAATTGGGTACCCAACTATGCAAGAAATTATTTTCAACTGAATATGGAAAACTTGTCAAAATTGACGAAATGCTGGGACATGAATATAACCTTAATAA